AGGGTTCCCCTTTCTCTGCATCCTCACAGGGCCCATACTCTTAACCACGATGCCATATCCCAGCACAGCACTGGGCACGGTGCTGCTGTAATTAAGCAACTGCAGGTTTTTTTAACAAACGCACCTTTGTAAATCCAGACGTCCCAGCACCGTGCAGGGGTGGCACTCGGTGGTCCTTGGAGCCACCTGAGCCTGCTCTTTGGAGATGAGATTTTTGCTCATTTGGAGTGTGGAACAGCAGCCCCACTGCAGAGGTCCCTCATCGAGGAATCCAAGAAGGCCTTCCCTTCTCTCCACCCCAGCTGACAGTTGGCCAAAGTGTGGGGAGGCTGAGCAGGGAGTGTAGGGGAAAGAGCATGAGATTTGGAGTGAAACCTGTAGATGCAGATTCAAGACCTGACCTCACACAAGGTCCCTGCCCTATACAGTTCTAGGACCTTCTATGAATCAGGTGACATCTTTGAGCCTTTCTTTTTCCCCATCTATAAAATGGGAATAACAATGACAATACCTCCCACAGAATTACACTAATATTTGCATCAGATTGTCAGGAGGATTCAGTGAGATAAGATGACCGTCCTTTGTTACCGTAAAGTGGCACACCACTCACTTGCAGAATACTAAAGGAATGTGCCACCTCTCTCACAGGACAAAGCCCACAAGCGCTATCTGCTGATGAGCATCGACCAGAGGAAAAAGATGCTCAAAACCCTCCGTAAGACCAACTACAGTGTCTTCGAGAAGACGTGCAAGGAACTGGGGATAGAGTACACCCTCCCCCCTCTGTACAACCGGAAACCCCACCGACGCTTGGCGGCCAAGAAGGCCCTGTGCATTCGGGTACGAGTCAGAATTGCTGCTTTGGTTGGCCCCACTGTGGGACGGTGGTGGAGAGAGCAGCAGGGAGGGTTGTCTGTTCCTGCCTGAGTCATGGAACTGTCCCCCAGTCCCCAAGGAGGCCCACAGGCCTTCACTCCCATGGAGAAAGTCTGGCGTGCCCACCCAGGGAGGTCTGTGCCCATCCCACCTGCTCTATGCCTGAGGTTTTACGTGGGATTACAGTTTCTTCTGCTCCCTTTCATCCCCAGGTCTTCCAAGAGGCCCAAAAGCTCAAGAAGCAGAAAAGGGCCTTAAAAGCTAAAGCAGCAGCAGTCCAGAAACAAGGCCAGAAGAACCCAGAGAGTCCTTCCAAAGCTGAACCAGAGCCAATCAATTAAAACCAATAAACTTTATTAGAGTTATGTCTTTCTGCCTTAAAGGATAATAGGAGAGAAGGTGGTACTGCTCTGTGTAGCCTGAGGAGGAGGAGGAATTCGTTCTTTCATTCAGCTTGTCGGAGGCAGGGCATCTGCCCTCACAGACCAGAGGACACATTCTCACAACACACCTCACACACACTCACATAAACAGCTCCCTGGGGTCCAGGTGACGTTCCTAAGAAGGTGAGACTGAGCGCCCAGCCACACCAAGGAAGTGTGGCCAGCTGGCTGCTGGGTGAGGCCAGCTGTAGGAGCTGCCTTCGGGACTGGGCCCCAAAGGATGAGTTCAAGTTCATCAGGTAAAAACAGGGTGGGAAAGCATCCAGGCAGAAGGCACTGCAAGTGCAAAAGCAAGGAAGTCAGCAGGTGTGTGCCGTGTTCAAGGAGCACTGGGAATGGGAAATAAAGCTTGACCAGTAAGCTGAACCTGGGCGGTGAGAGGCTTGATGTATTGGCTACCCTCTAGGGAGTGGGGAGAGAGTTATGGTTTAAAACTGAAGGAGTGATGACAGCACCAAGTCTGTTTTAGATGGTTAAGCAACAGCACTGTGAAGGGCAGATGGGAGGGGGAGACACTCAGAGCAATTTATTGTTTTGGGGTCAGGGTACTGGTGCTCAAATTGAGAATCTGCTAGAAGCTACAAGTCCTATCCCTAAGAAAGTGCAAATGCAAAACATTCTTTATAAATTCTGGGAGTTATTGATACCCCTTTTCATGCAAAACTCACCGATTCACACCAAGTGAAATGTCAAGGCCTTGATGTCTGAGTGTGCTTGGCCTGTTTGAAGAACTCAAGGAAGACAGTGCATGTAAAACTGAACAAAGAGAGGAGTAGGGAGAGAGAAGGTCAGAGGTAAGAGCAGACACCAGATAACAGAGAGTTTTCTGGGTTTATTAGTCTGCTCAAGCTGCCAATAAAAACCGTAAACTGGCTTAAACAACAGAAACTTCTTTAAAGTTCTGGAAGCTATGAAGTCCAAGACCTAGGTGCTGATCAGTTTGGTTTCTGGCTTGCAGAATGTCGCTTTCTATGTCCTCACATGCAAGGGGAGGGAAAAAAAAAAAGATATTTTCCTCTTACAAGGGCACTAATCACATTGTGAGGACCCTACCTTCATGACCTCATCTAATTCATTACCTCTTAAACGCCCCACCACCAAATACCATAATGTTGGGGCTTAGAGCTTTGATAATATGAATTTGGGGAGGTATACAAACATTCAGTCCACAACAGTGGGGAGAAAACTTTGGGCTTCATTCTGAGAAGGAAAGCCAAAGTGGGGGAAGGTGTGTTAAAGGGACGTCCAAAGAATGCTCCAAAGCAGCTCCAGGACTGCTGCAAGGCCTGAGGTAGAGACAGGCTTAGGGGTTAGGTTTAGATGGTGACTGAAGCCATGGGTGTGAGTAAAATTGCCCAGGGAGGGAGTGTAAGCAAAGAAAGTGCCATGTCAGGATGGGAAGGATGCTCTCGGGACATAGCGGGACTCAGGAGCAGCTGAGAGCCCCGGGGGTAGTGGTGAGTGAAGTGAGGATAGAATAGAGCCTGGTTTCCTACAGAATCAGAAGTGAGATGAGAGGCTCAGAACTGTAAACTTGGTGTTCAGATGTCACCTCCAGGAACAGTGGGGAAGGCCCTTTAAGGGGCAGGACTTTAAGTAGACACAGCTGCATGGAGAGCCTGGGGGTGGGGGCAGGTGCCATCATTTAGGGGGACCAGTGGAGAAGGTGAGGAAAGGGACACCCTGGAGCAGGCCCTACAGGAAAGGCATCGTAAGTGCTGCCTTAGGCACAATATCTCATCTCCTGAGAGCCACCTTCCTCACCCATCCACCCCATATTGGCGTGATTATCTTCATTTTACCATGTGAGCACTCAGGCTCAGAGGTTAGGTAACTTGTCCAAGTTCACACAGCTGGTTAGAGACAGCCCTAGGAATCAAGGCTGAATCTGTCTTCACTCCAAGCCTGTGTTCTGCTCATTATACCACACTAGCTAGGGGCAAAAAAATGACTTGAGTCACTATGGGAGGATTTGGTACTATAGCATACTAAAATGCCTTTAGCAATCAGGCAGGTTAATGCATCAAGGCCAGGTTTAAGATAGTGATGCTAAGTTGCTTGAAACATTCCTACCCTAGTTATTGTCCCTGTTGAAACTGGTGAGACCAGGGAAAATCAAATCAAAGCCTTGGACCACCAGCTTTCAACTACTGTATAGCAGCTAATGCTGAGATGTTAGCTAAGGAGGAAAAAGTCTCCACGGTGAAGCAGTTTGAGTGGGATGGAGAGAGCTCAATCCTAGCTGTGGTGAGTTAGTGAGTGAAGATGTTAAGGAAATACAGGCTGTGACTGTAGACTACTCAAAAACTTGGCTGGGAAGGAAACGGAGCCAGAGGAGGTGTAGGAACGATGAGCTTGGCAAATGTCAAAGCAAAACTGCGGAGGTAGGTGTGGTTAGGAGGAGGGGGTAATGTTTCATTGAGGGGACAAAGCTGATGAGGTAGATGAGTTCAGCTGGATTAGAGAGCAATGAGGGAGTGCACAAGTCTCTAGAAAGTTAGTTGGAGGAGCACCTGGTTGGCTCCGTCTGCTAAGCATTCACCTCTCGATCTCAGGAGTGTGAGGTCACATTCCACACTGAACATGGAGCCTACATTAAAAAATAATAATAAATAGATAGTTGGGAGTCTGAGTGGAGAGTCTTGAATGCCATGTTGAGGCATTTAAACTGTGATCTGGCAAACAGCTGGGAGCCCCTGAAGGAAAGCCTCATATTGATAATGACAACTTCTGAAATTAAGCCTAGCAGCCAGTGATGGGGGTGGAGAGAAAGGACCAGTAACATGGAGGAACATACTAACGCAGGCAGAAAAAGAAATGAAGAGATAAATGTGAGAACGATCTTGGAGGAAAATGCAGAAGTAGTGACTGATAACTAACAGTAACCAGGGAAATAAAGTTGGAAGCCAATGCCCAGATTTCACGGCTGGGGGGGAAGATGTTTCATGGGTTTTAGAAATACTGAAATTTACAGCAATGGTTGCTCATCAAAGTAAAAATGTACAGCAGATAGTAAGAGTGATGCTGGAGCTCAAGGTGCGGGTGAAGTACAGGGTCGACGCCCTCAAACTAGAGAAGCAGGTGGGAGGCGTGCTCAACAACGTGAAAGAGCTTCGGAGAAGCCTCAGCACGTGTCCTCCGGGAGCTGGACAGACAAGACCAGGCCTGGCTTGCTTCACCCCAAGTAGCTTTTAGGAAGGAAACGCAAACTCAAGGACGTCTGGCCCTTCCCGCGTTCAAAAGAAAAGTCCGTTATCATTTCACTGAGTGCCTTCATGGCACTCTGCGTATCTCATGGATTCCTCTCTGCACCCACGAGAGGTGGCTCGCGCCTCCACGTTCCGTGCGGGGTAAGGCCGCCCTCAAACACCTGCCCAGAGTCGCAGGGCTAGGAAAGGGCTCAGCCACCATCCCACTCCAGGTCCGGCCACCCCGAGACCGCTTGGAAGTTCTGCTCCGGCCTTCCTCGTTCTCTGGCGGAGGAACGCGGGTCGGGAGAACGAACTAAGCCACGGCAGCTACCCACCGCCCGTGCTGGAGGGAAAACCACCGGAGGAGCCGGGTACGCAACCTCCCGCGGAGGCCGCTGCCGCCGGCCCAATCAGCGTCCGCCCCCGGAGCCTTCCAACAAACGGCCCTCTGATTGGCGTCTTCTGCCAGCCGCCGCGTTGCCCTGGCAACCAGGCGACCAGACCCAAAGGCCGGGCATCCAGGCCGCCGGCTACCCAGCCCAGTGGCCCTTCGCCTCTTCCGCCCGCATCTGGCACCATGTCGCTGCGGACTCTACCGCTGCTCTTCTTGAACTTGGGCGGGGAGATGCTTTACATCCTGGACCAGCGGCTGCGGGCCCAGAATATCCCGGCAGACAAGGCCCGCAAAGGTGAGAGGCGCCCGGCCCGCACAGCCAGCCCCACGCCCCGCCGCCCGGTCCCCTCGCCGCCGCCGCCGCCGCCGCGCGCACAGCCGGACTTCCACAGCCAGGCCCCCCTACAGACTGACCAACACCCCTGCACGCCGCGCTCCTGTAGCCACAGAGCATCCGCTCAGGGCCCCTCAGGAGTCAAATTCCCCAAAAGATATTTTCACAGCAGAAGGATTTAACACCCGCGCTAGGGTCTATTATTAAGGGACCTGACACCCACACACACACACCCCATTTCCTCATCCCCTCAAACTGGAGAGGTGATTTCCCTGTCTCTCTTGACAACCAGTCCCTCCCAAATATAGGAGACCAAGCGCCCATCACCTGGGAAACACCCTGCTAGTCCAGGCATCCTCTCCCCCACCACCCCGCACCCCAACAGGTGCTGATTCTCCTTTCCTCTGTATCCTATCCTCCTTGAGCTGAGGCCAGTCTTGCTAATTTCAGAAGCTATTTCTAGAAAGGTGGGATTCTGAAATAATGGATGTAAAAGAAAACATAAGAAAGTTGCGTTATTCCCTTCACAATGATTGGAAGAGAAGGCAGTTCTGGAAATAATTATATGAGACTTTCTAAAATGCAAAATCTGTCATCCATATACACCACATCTAATCTCCAGAGAAATGCCACCCAGAACTCTCTGCCACCATTTTCTTCTTTTCCTTCCTTCTCAACCAACAACTGCTTTCACCAAGTTTCCTGGGATTAAGTGCTGAAGAAATATATAATTCAAGGTAGAGAAAGATAAGTTGGTGTAAAGGTAACTGACATGACCCTAGATTAAAAATTTATTCTCTCCAGCAATCCGTATGCTCAACTGATGTTAAACGTACAGATTCAGATGTTAAGCATACATATTCAGATGCTCACTACTGTATCTGTGTGATTGAGTCCAAGTCCATGCACAAAGAGATAAAAAGAACTCCCTATCGCATACCCTCTCCATTCATTCTGCACACTGCTGCCCTTGAGCTTTCTCAAATGCAAATCCGTCCATACGCCCTGCTACTTAAAACCCTTTGTCAGCTTTCACTGATGTTTGGATGGAGACCAAGTGTATGGCAGGACATTTCTGGGTCCCTGCTGACCTGATCTGTCTCCACCTCTGCAGTCCCACCTTCCACCACTGCCTGCCTCCTACTTTGTATCTTAATACCAAACTGCTTGGAGGCCTACATTTAAAACATGTTCATTCACGTTTCTGTGCTAATAATCCCCATTCTACCCCCAAAGATCCCATGTCTATGCTAATGGTTCCTCTTCCATACTGCATTATTCGGCTCGAGAATCAGTTCCTTCAGGAAACCTCCCCACACCAGGCAAGGGTCTGAGAATACTCCCATCGCACCCCATGCATGCCTCTCCCTATCTTATCGCTCACTGGCCAAGTTATACTGAAATGGTCTGTGGGTGTCTCCCCCGCACGTGATTATCTTCTTCATCTTTGTACTCCAGCACCTAGCATAGCTCCTAGACCAGAATAAATTGGTATTCAGTCAATGTTGGTTGAACTGATGATCTAAATTGGCTGTTTTATATGATGTTGCCATTTCTTCCTCAAGAGGGTTCTGTTTTCCTTGGCAGATATGTTCTGTGATTGCATTCGGGCTAATGGCACTAGTGAGCTGACAGGTCGTCCTTGCACTGGCGGTCTGCATCTTGAAAAATGGTATAAATTAGCAATTAAGAGCATACTCTCTGCAGCCGTACAATTGGGTTCCAATTCCAGCTTTGCCCTTTAACTAGATGTATGACCTTGGAGAGTTACCTCTATAAGCCTGTTTCTTTTTCCATAAAACAGGCATCACATATGCTCACAGCAAAGTTGTCAGAATTGAATGAGATCATGTATTCAACATGTTTAACACAATGAGTAGCAGGTGTTGGCTTTCAAGAGGCGGTCTGGGCAAGACCCTGTGAATATGAAGGGACTGGTTTCCTTTGTCTTCAGGAGCTATAGTTCTTCTGAGTTTGCTAAATACAGCTTTAAGGAGTTTCAGCTGTTTTTAGTAATTCACATTCACACACCCCTTCCTTACTTCCACAGTTTAGGTGACTTCTCTGAAGACCTTAATCCCCACAACTGTACCATCATGTAGGTAATACTATGCCCATTTTACAGATGGGGAAAATAAAGTTAATTTGCCTGGGGTTACATAGTAAGAGGAAGAATAAAGAATTTGAACCCAGGTCATCAGGCTCCAGAACTCATACTCTTAGCCTGTATGTCCTTAACTGCTACGCTATAGTTCCATACGTGGGGGGACTGTATCAGAATCCTTGGGGATGGGGGGATGGGAGATCAAGAAAGGGGGAGCTCTGAAAAAATTGTCCAATGGACCCACTGATTTTATGAAAGAAAGGACAGAAAGTAACTGGCTCATGGGGACTCATAGACGACAGCCGGTAAACAAGGTGGAGGGTGCAGGATTCAGAAAGCTGAGAATCACCCCCTCTATCCCACCAGTGAGAGCTGGTGTAGCCACAGGAGCCGCTGTGACAGTTGCTGGTACACAGAGGCCCATAAAACACCAGCCACGGTCAATGAGTCCCCGCTGATGCTGTGAATGGAAATCATATTTCTTCTAGGTGTTTTCATTCTCTTACACAACTAATTGGTCTCCTGGAGGCCCTGTGGCTCCCACAAGGCCAATGCAGATGCTGCAGTTTTTCACCACGGCGGAGCCTCTAGTTTAGCATTCAACAGAAAGGAAGTGCTCTCGCCGTGGGGCAACTTCGGAGTGTTGCATTTGAATGTTGTCCCCGTTTTAAGCAATAGCAAGAATAATAAAAGCCGCCTTGGCCTCACGCCAGTCCTCTCACAAATCCCCATCAATAAGACCCTATTACATTTTGTTTACATCCCTCATTTTACAGAGGGGTTGCTGAGACACACAGCCAGTAAATGATTTTTCCAATGTGAGCAGATCGCAGTGAAGGACTGAGCAACCAAATGGTGGCGAAGTTCTATTTTTCTTTTTCTAGCTTCAATTCAGCAGGCAGGTCTGGATAGCGTTGGGCCTTCCTCCCACTCAAAATACAACTAAAGTGAATTTGGTATAAGCAAGTCATCTGGAAAAATAACAGAAAGAGCGGGACATGCTTTATCAAATTCCCTTGGATCCTCAGGAGGACCGGGGCAGGGAGCGCGCGGCACTCCAGCGACCTCTGCTGGAGCTGAGCGTCATTGCCCGCAAGAGTGCGGGAACCCTGGGCATGCTTTCGCCAGCCGGCTCCACTTTGTCAACAGCGGGGAGCCAAGGTCCCTTAGAGTTCGTGAGCCCCTTGAGGCACCACCGCCCCGGTCCTCCTGCGTCAGATGCTTCACTGACTGTGCCACCCAGGCGCCTTTGTAAAGCCTTGTTTTGAATGATGTGTATTCTCATAGCATTAGAGACTTCTCGCCTTTCAAGATAAACCCCAGGGGAGCTAGTGCTGGGTTTCCTCTCCCACGGGGCTTTTTTGGAACTTGTTAACTTACCCATCAACTTTTTCAAAGTTTCAACTGGAGGGCAGAGAGTATTTACATTAGACATTAATGCAAACATGCAAAATGAAGTTTCACTGACCAGATCATTGGAATTGGTATTTTTAAAGCCTCCTTGAAAAGAATGTTCTTGCTTCATGAACGGTGTTTTCTTTTTATATGCTTCATGTAGATGAATGGACAGAGGTGGACAGAACACGAGGTATGCTATCTCTGGGCTGCATGCGTTCAGTCTGCATCCACAGGCTCACTGGGTCCTTCATCCCTGGGCTGACTGGGCGACCACTCTAAATATGTCTAAGGAAAAACACAGGCGTGAGTTTCTCTTTAGCCAAGAGACTGGTTGTACGTTGGAATCTCTCACTTAAATAAATACAGCATAGCATGTAGGATGAAAACCAAGCACAACTTGTCCAAAGGACCATATGGCCCAGGAGGTATTTGTCTCATCGGTTCCAAGTTCTGCAGGCCATCAGCCACACTTCTGGGTCGGCTGTCCTACTTGGTAGTCCTTAAAACAATTCTGTGACAGTATCGCACAGCTAAAGAATTATGCTTCGACGCTAGTGCTCCTCCCTGAACTGTTCTCCTCCGCACACTGGTCTCTCTAGAGCGACAGAGGAAAATGGAAGCAGGCGGCTGCATGGCTGCCGGACGCGCATGCGCTCTGGCCTTGTGTCAAATCTTCAGTTTCCCCTTTGGCCACGACTAGCGGCAAACCAGAAAAACTTGCCGGTTCCTCAGAATAAAACCTCAGCCTTTCTCCGCCTTAAATGTTGCAGGGACCTTCCATCACTTGACACCTGGGTGTAGCTGATGCATGTCATCAGCCATCGTCCTATTGAGTCTCAGTGCTCTCAGCATACCAAGTATGCTGAGGAGATGGCGCATGTAGTATCTAAGAGAATGAGCATTAAAACCAAACACCCCATCCCAGTTTCACTTCCGCCACCAGCTGAGTGACCTTGGACTTTAACCTCTCGAAGACTCAATGTTCCTCCTTCATAGAGTAAGGAGAATAATTCAGAGTTGTCTTGGGGCTTAAAAGAGAGAATGCATGGAAAGTTCTAAGCCCTGTGCCTGGAACATAGTAAGGATTCAAAAATGGTAACCATCCAGAAGTAGTAGCTTCTCCCTTTTACCCTCGGTTCCAAATTGCATGTTCCTAATAAACAAATGTATAGCACAGGTGGTTGGTTAAAACTCAGTTGCTTTCATCAAGAGAATTATTTCTACAGGCCAGGGTCAAAGAAAAACCTAACTGAAGTGCTTGATATATTTTTATTGTCTTACCATTTCCTATGAGTAATTTTTGACCCACCTCTTGACGCAGTGTGGAATTTCAAGCAAGAGGTGTGGATTAGGAAGGCTGTTAGTGTACATGATTGAATCATTGGAATTTATTTTAACTTAGGCATTGCAAAATAATGAGCAGAAACTGACTTCCTAATCAGAACCTGGGACAAGCAACCTGATCTGTTAAGAACTCAGTTGCTAACACTTTTGATGCACCTGTGAAAAATTACTTCCTTCCCTGCCCTTAGTCTCCGCTCCCCCCAACCTGGCTCCTAATGCATTCCTGACTCATGAAATTATGCAAAGCTCATGCAAGTGCCAAAAACTAACACCAAGACTGACTGACCGGTCTGCTTAAACCCATTTCTCGGGTTTAACTTAAATACAACGTGGGCTGCTTCTCTAGGGCAGGGGTAGCGGCCAGTTCCACTTTGGGTGCTGGTGTTTATCTCATGTCTGGTACGGATTTAGGCCCACCTCAACCAAGTGCTAGGGAAAGCAGAGTGTGAGGTATAAACTTGTCAATTTGTGCCCCCATATTCTTTCCAAAGACTTAAATTCTGGAGGTGGGAGTTCTGGGTACCAGGGCCCTATCATCAAACTGCCATGTCCTCTGCCGGGTCATTTGTATCCACTGCTCGGCCCCCAGGGACAGCGTGTGCTATACTCTGAACAACAGGAAGACTTTCTGGTTGTTAGTGTGCAAGGAGCCATAATGATGTATAGCCTATTCTCTGCCCAGGGGGAAAGACTTCCTTTTGCTTTTTACTTTGCCAGAGTGACTAACAATCCCCCCGCAATTTTCTTTCTTTTAGAACTGATATAGTTGGGTCTTAGCTATTTTCACAGATGTTGCTAGGGACTCAAAGACCCTAGAGAAATGGCTCAGCACCCAGGCAAATGGCAGTAACTGAAAGCATCGACAGAATCAGCTGATGTGATCCTGCAGCTGGAATTCTTCCTCTTGGGCACACCTGTTTGCCCTACATAAATCCATGGAAAGTTCTTCAAATTCTTTCTCTCAAGGCCTCACGTGTGGCTTTTCATTTGTACCTATTTGCTTGTAAATTCTGCTCTTGATACAGGCTATGGTAAGAGAAAGGTAGAAAACCCAGTTTCTTGCAGGTCCCTGCTTGCTTAGTTCTAAGCCAAAAGACCATTCATGAAGAAACCCAGAAAAGTTCCTAAGTCTCCAAGCTGTCCGCACTGGGGAAATGTTAGTGCACATTAAGGGCAAGCTGCGACGGGTTCACATTGTCAGATGTGAGAGATACCCTGTGTTGGTAATGGATTTGGTTCTTCCTCACAAAGAGGGTAGAGCCTCAAAGTCCAAGGTCAAGTGTGAGTTCAACACATCTGAAAGGAGTCAGTCATTTAGTTCTTTTTTTGTCAAAATATGGGAGATCCCTTCCCTCCTCTCTCTCTAGCCCTTCCATGTAAGAGTTAAATGCAACCAGCCCTCAGCTCCCCCTTCTCCCAAAATTGCTCTTTGAGATCCCTTTTTTAAAGCTGGATTATTTATTTATTTATTTATTTTTATTTGTAAGTAGGCTCCATACCCAGCAAGGAGCCCAACATGGAAATTGAACTCACTACCCTGAGATCAAAACCTGAGCTGAGATCAAGAGTCAGATGTTTAACCAACTGAGCCACCCAGGCACCCCACGATTTTTTTAAAGTAATCTCTACTCCCAAAATGGGGCTCAAACACAACCCCATGATCAAGAGTCGCATGCTCTATGAAGTGGGCTAGCCAGGCCCCCCGATGCTGGCGTGGCCCCCAGGGTACTTCTATCAATTACTTAAAGCTGGAAAGGGTGCCTGAAACCATGACCTGAATGAGCTACCTTGCCCCCTGTCTCTAAAATACATGGTCACAGCCAATCACCTGGTGCAACATTTGGCAAGAGAAAGGGGCATTTGTATTCTTCAGTGACAATCACTCATGTTTAATAATTGATTTTGTAAAATTATTGTAAGTCATCGGTTTTCTTTCAAGTTTTAATTACTATGAACGTATATTCATAGTATTCAGCATCCATATACTGTCACCCTGAGGCCAGGATATATCTGGCTTAATTAAGAATAATCTGGGGCACCTGGGTGGTTCAGTGGGTTAAAGCCTCTGCCTTGGGCTCAGGTCATGATCCCAGGTCCTGGGATCGAGCCCCACATCGGGCTCTCTGCTCTGCAGGGAGCCTACTTCCTCCTCTCTCTCTGCCTGCCTCTCTGCCTACTTGTGATCTCTGTCTGTCAAATAAATAAATTAAAAAAAAAAAAAAAGAATAATCTGTGTTCCAGGGCGCCTGGGTGGCTCAGTGGGTTAAAGCCTCTGCCTTCAGCTCAGGTCATGATCTCAGGGTCCTGGAATTGAGCCCCGCATCGGGCTCTCTGCTTAGCAGGGAACCTGATTCCCCTCCTCTCTCTGCCTGTCTCTCTGCCTACTTGTGATCTCCGTCTGTCAAATAAATAAATTCTTAAAAAAAAAAAGAAGAAGAAGAATCTGTGTTCAGGGGCACCTGGGTGGCTCAGTCCTTAAGCGTCTGCCTTCGGCTCAGGTCATGATCCCAGAGTCTTGGGATCCACCTCCTCATCAGGCTCCCAGCTCAGCTGGGAAGCCTGCTTCTCCCTTTCCCACTCCCTCTGCTTGCATTCCCTCTCTTGCTGTGTCTCTCTCTGTCAAATAAATAAAATCTTAAAAAAAAAAAATGATCTGTATTCATACATACCTGTTCCTATTTCTTATACCAGAGGGTTTTCCTGGCCTTCAGCTAATATTATTTAAGTAGCACAAAATATTGAAATGAATGAGTGAATGAAAAACTAGAATTATAGACACTTTGGTTTGCACATCCCTTTGGATTTTATTCTCACCAGATGGAAATTTTCCGTTTTAACAACAATATAAGACACATCACCACAGTGTAATATCAATATTATAGACTAAAGTAGAAATTAAGGCATTCTAAAATGGTGCTAATCTGAAGTATATGTCTTGTAGAAGCATTAAAAATGTTTTCATCTCTAACCAGTGGGTAGACTCGTCTATTTTCATAAAATGCTTGTTCTTTAAAAAAAAGTCAATTACCATTATTGGTCCCATTTTAGTGAAATTTAATTTTAAGTAAAAACGTTATAAATTAGTGGGGCGCCTGGGTGGCTCAGTCATTAGACATCTGCCTTGGGCTCAGGTCATGATCCCAGGGTCCTGGGATCAAGCCCCGAATCAGGCTTCCTGCTCAGCCGGAAGCCTGCTTCTCCCTCTCCCACTCCCCCTGCTTGTGTTCCTTCTCTCACTGTCTCTGTCAAATAAATAAATAAAATCTTTTTTTAAAAAAAGTTATAGATTAGCTAAACAAACTGAAAAAAGAGCTCTGCTGTTTCTCATTTTAAGGAAGAGATCTATTCTAAAATGTTCATAGGAATCCTTTTTTTTTTTAAGATTTTATTTATTTATTTGACAGAGAGAGAGAGATCACAAGTAGGCAGAGAGAGGAGGAAGCAGGTTCCCCGCCGAGCAGAGAGCCGGATGCGGGCATCGATCCCAGGACCCTGAGATCATGACCCGAGCCAAAGGCAGAGGCTTTTAACCCACTGAGCCACCCAGGCGCCCTTTAGGAATCCTTTTTAAAGAAACATCTCCCTTATCATCAAGTGAGAAAACATACGTATAACAGTGGTTTGTAACCACTGAAGCACAACACATTCGTACATTGTCACATTTCTGTTTGCTCGGAGACAGTCTCATAAAGCATTCTGGACCCTGCTTTCTACTGGGACGCCTGTGTGGTTTCTCCGGAGGGAGCAGATCTCACCAGCACATCAGCATCCCCACTCTGCATAGACCCAGCTCCTGCATTCCATTCATACACAGACAGCATTTCCTGAATAAATCTGCCTCTGGTACCTTGCTCAGCTATTTCCTCTCTTGTCTCTACAGTTCTGAATGACATCATCTCAACCATGTTCAATCGAAAGTTTATGGAAGAGTTATTCAAACCCCAAGAGCTCTACTCCAAGAAGGCCCTGAGGACTGTCTACGACCGCCTGGCTCATGCCTCCATTATGAGACTGAACCAGGCCAGCATGGATAAGGTGAGGAGACCACTGCCTCTGTCCCGTTGTTGCATTTCTTGTATCTTTGGTGCATGAGCACAGATTGGGTCTAATGAGAGGAGATAAGCTGTGGTGCCTTGCCAAGAAAAGATATGTGCAAATATCAGTTGTTGGTATTGAGTTCCAGAGTTAGAAAGGACCTCAAGTCATCCATCCCACCCCCTCTGATGATCGTGTCATTCTGCCCACCTAAAGAGGAAGCTGGCATTCAGACCCATATTTAAGAACACACTCCTCAACCCGATGCAAGTGCCTATCCCTAAAAACTTTAATTCTGCTTCATTCTTAATAAATGACAGCTCTGTGATGAGGAAACAAGGCATTTGTAAAGCCGAATCAAAACTGCTTAATCTTTACTTAGCACGTGAACATATTGGGGCGCCTGGGTGGCTCATTGGATGGGTGCCCAAGCCTTTGGCTTGGGTCATGATCCTGGGGTCCTGGGATCTAGCCCCTTGTCAGGCTTCCTGCTCAGCAGGGAGTCTGCTTCTCCCTCCCACGAGGGGCTCGTGCTCTCTCGCAGTCACTCTCTCTCAAATGAATGGATAAAATCTTTAAAAAAAAAAAAAAAAGGAACATGAACATATGTTTCTTTTTTTCTTTTTTTAAGATTTCTTTCATTTATTTGACAGAGAGTGAGCACTAGCAGGGGGAGTGGCAGGCAGAGGGAGAGGGAGAAATAGGCTTCCCGCTGAGCAAGGAGCCCAATGCAGGGCTCAGTCCCAGGACCCCGGGATTATGACCCAAGCCAAAGGCAGATGCTCAACCGGCTGAGCCACCCAGGTGCCCCTGAACATATTTGTTTCTTTGGGAAACAAATTATTGGGGCACTCTGATTTTTTTTAAATAATAATTCCAAATAAATAATGGCAGAGAATAGACAAATCTTCTATTCAAAAATATTCAAAAATTCAGAATATAGATACCCCCCCTCCCTGTATGGGGACTATACTCAGTGACTTCCTTCCAAAGGGGCAGTATGGAAAGGGCAGAGAATAGCTGACATACAGTGGGAAAATGACAAACACAACAAGGTCAATGGTGATAAGTGATGTTGATCTTGTGTACCCTGATGCAGTGTGATGAGGATAGCACTCTACCTCCGTGGTCTTCCTCCCAAAAACCTACACTCCATTCTGATTGTGAGAAAAACATCAGACAGATGGGGCGCCTGGGTGGCTCAGTCCATTAAGCAGCTGTGTTCAGCTCCGGTCATGATCCCAGGGTCCTGGGATTGAGCCCTGCATGGGGTGTCCTGCTCAGCGGCGAGCCTACTTCTCCCTCTCCCTCTGCTGCTACCCCTGCTTGTGAGCTCTCTCTCTCTCTCTCTCTCTCTCTGTCAAATAAATAAAATCAAACAGATAACATTTGGAGGTCATGTTATAAGTACCTGGCCAGTACTTAAAACTCTCAAGGCCACCAAAAACAAAAACAGAGAAATTGTCACTGCCAAGCGAGGCTTAAGGAGACCTGATGCTAAATGTAACGGGGGTCCTGGAACAGAAATAGGACATTAGGGGAAAACTAATGAAATCTGAATCAAATATGAACTTCAGTTACTTTTAATAATAGCAATAATAATAACAATTTTTTAAAAGATTTTATTTATTCATTTGACAGAGAGATCACAAGTAGGCAGAGGAGGCAGGCAGAGGAGGTGGGGAAGAAGGCTTCCTGCTGAGCAGAGAGCCCGATGTGGGACTCGATCCCAGGACCCTGAGACCATGACCTGAGCCGAAGACAGAGGCTTAACCCACTCAGCCACCCAGACGCCCAATAATAACAATTTTTAAAGAATTCATTTTTTAGCTCCTCCATTATGTGAATTTGTGTAAATCCTGAGGACTGAGTGAGTTTTAAGCTTTATACAAAACCTGTGCTTACTTCCTGCCAGGCTAACCTCAGAGAGCCGTCTCCCTTTAACTGTGCCCTTACCTCCTCTCACTTACTTCTGGAAAGTTACTTTATTTCCTTGAGCCTCCATTTTCTCATCTATAAAATGGGGATAATAATGGCTTTTTCATCAGTTTCAGGAGGGGTAAGTGAGAAAACATAACACACGTAGGCCTGGCACATAATAGATGTTCAGTCAATGTTAATCATCCCTGCACTGCTCGCTCTTCTCCTTCTGCCTTTAAGAAGGTTTAGGTTTCCATGGAGAAAGGACACAGAATTTGGAATAAAAAACCTGGATTCAAGTCTTAGCCTTACCAGTTGCTAGCTGTAGACTCAATTTACTGAATAACTCTGAATTTTCATTTCTTTATCTTCTACCTGGTTTTATCCTTTGTTCCTCTCATGGTGTCCTATCCACCACAGGGGCTTAACGTGTGATAATGACAACAGAGAGTCCCACGTCTATGTCTTCAGTATTCTACATTCCCACCACACACGCCCCAGGGTATTCCCGGCTATTCGGCTTTCTAAATTAAATGCTTAGCTGCATGTTGGAGAAATGGGATCATGTAGAAAATTCTAGCAAGTGCTAGGATCTGAAAGTCCTGAGTTCAAAGCTCACCCTGCCACTTATTACCAGTTATGTGAAATTAAGCAAGTCTCTTCATTTTTAAACTGGGGCTACCATCTTCGTCATAGAGTCCCATGTGAGTGAATGGGACGAAACAAGGTGATGTATGTGGGTGTGCCCAGCACTACACTCCATGGGTGTGATCAGTCCCTCTCCTGCATTGGTCATGCTCAGAGCTTCTCTCCCAGACTGGTTCCTTCCGCCCCCGCCCCCAGACCGCCCTGCCACTGTCAGCGTCAGCCTTCTCCCAGGCACCAGGTAGAAAACGCTGTGATTGTTTCGGACAGCCGTCCTGTGGCCCCAAACCTACTTAGCCAGTTCCTTCGAAGAATCACACCCACTTCTTTTCATGGCTTTTTCCATGCCCGCCATCTTTATTCTAGGCCTTATGTCTGAATTATTCCAGCAAAGTTTTTTTCATTCTTATAGTCCCTAGATGTTATTGCACACCTATCAGGAGCCAGCTACTAGCTAATCTCCCCACCTCCAGTCTCCCTTCCATCCCTTCTCATCATTGCCAGACTCCCTAATCTAGCTTAATTACCACTTCCATCGTGACAGCTCGGAAAACTTCAGTAGCTCCCCTAATCCCCACCATGTCTAGTCTAAATTATTTTGCCTGTCTCTCTAAAACCTTTAGTATTCTAACCTTGCCATACTTATCCAACTGTGTTTCCTACTGACCCCAACACGAACTGCCCTCTCTAATCGGGCTGTTCTCCTCATTGTCCCAGGAAAATGGCATACTCGTTGCTGCCTCTAGGCTCCCCTGCGCACTGTTCCCCTCGCCTGGAATGCCTCTCCCCTCCCTCAGTCAGTGTGAGCCTATGACTCAGCCTTCTGCTTCCACAAAACCTATCTTGACCACATTGGTCCTCACCAGTGTCTCACCTCTGATCATCGGTGGATGGCCAGACCACACGTGGGGCTTGTTGATATCTCATCAGGTGTTGTTCATCACTTACAGTTGCTCTTACACGGTCGTCAGACTTCACACTTGCCACTTGCACACCTACTCTCTCCTTGACTCCTCTCGGCTATTTAACAACAACAGGAAATTAGGGAGTATTTTTTAAGATTGTATTTACTTACATATTTATTTAGTTGAGAGAGAGAAAGAGAGCGAGCTCGAAGTAGGGGAGGGAGAAGAAGAGAGAAAAGTCTCCAGCAGACTCCACACTGAGCGTGGAGCCCAATGTGGGTGTCTGTTCCACAACCGTGAGATCATGACCTGAAGTGAAATCTAGAGTTGGCTGCTTAACCGACTGAGACACCCAGGTGCCCGGGGGAGTATTTTTTTACAGATGAGAAAAGTCAGGCTCAGAGAGGCAAAGGGACGAGGCCAAGGCCATCCACAGCACATCAGCTGTGGCAGCAGAGGCCTGGTTTTTGAACTTGCTCTCTCTGAGGCCAGGACACAGTCCAGGGCCCCGCGGCTGCCAGTGCTGTTCCTATCGTGTTCCATCAGTGGCACGCATAAGCTGACCAGAAATCCTGGTTTTCCCGAGAATGCCCTGGTTTATACCTGTCGTCCTGGCGTCATTATTCACCATCTCCTTTCTGCTCTCCATCTGAGTGATCACCGACGTGGTCGCCTGAGGTCCAGGAGATGCCCAGAACGGATTTTCCATAAATGCTGCCTGAAAGCATGTGTGAGGGCGCTGATGTCTATTTCTATGTATTTTGTTCAGCTCTATGACCTGATGACTATGGCTTTCAAATACCAAGTACTGCTGTGTCCCCGCCCCAAGGATGTGTTGCTGGTCACTTTCAATCATTTAGACGCCATCAAGGGTTTCATCCAAGACTCCCCAGCCATCCTGCAGCAGGTGGAGGAGACATTCCAGCAGCTGACTGACGTAAGCGGGTCGCCGGTTCCTCACCGCTCAGCCCCGTTCATGTTCTCGTTCCCTTGTTAAGAAACAGCCAGATTCTATGACAGACAGAACAGGATGAGGGGTGGCAAAGCCTGCCACTCTCCTGAAAAATTCCAAAATTCTGCACATATCCATTTGGGTCACGTAATAGACATTCCCATCTGAGGCCCTCTCGCTGTCTCCTTCCACGTCGGGAAAGCAACGACACAGAGCATGGCCGTGACCTCCTGACTTTTCTAAAAGGCAGTTGGCCGTGGACGTTCTGCTAAATGTTGGGGAAGGGTCCCTCCAGATCTTTGGGGAAGAGGAAAGGTGAATTGTCCCCTGCTCGGGCGGGGCCTGATGGGGTCTGGCTCTCGGGCTCTCAGGCTCTTGGGCCGCCCTGCTCACCCTAGCAGCCGAGCCCCCTGCCAGCTTCTCTTGCCCCCGCCCCCAAGTGCCCGCCTAGCGCCGCCTGTCTGCACTTCTCACCTCACTTCTGAAAGTGAAGTGTCTCTTTGCTTTGCCTCTGGCAGAGATACGGAGGACTCTCAGACGGGGAGTTCCAGCTGATTCGGCAGACGCTCCTCATCTTCTTCCAGGACCTGCACATCCGGGTGAGTGACTGGGCGACCCCGGGAGCCCCCTGCCACCGCCACCCGAGGGAGACAGGGTGCCAAGTGATCAGGTGGAAGAGGGCTGAGGTTGCCCGTTAGTGATTCCTCTGTGTTTGGCTCCATAATGACAAACTTCCTGATAAGAAAGCTCAGCAGTTTTTCAGTCCACCAAGGAAGGCAATGATACCGCCCTTCCTTCCCAGTTCCTTGATGTGTTCCTTGAAAATATGATTTATTCTCTTCTCCGGAGGAAATGTGTTTTCAAGGCTACCAGTCTGATATTAATAATAAAGCCTTTTCTCAAACCACTCGCATCCTTAACCTCTCCAGTATCTGACGCTGTCAGGAGGCTGCTGTCCCACCCCATGAAACCCACCTTACCAGGACTCTCCTGACACCAGACCGTCCTGGCCTTGCCCTACCCCTCCCGGCTCTATGCCCCTCACCCCTTCTTCCCCCCTTTCCTTCACCTTCGACTTTGGAGTCTCACCTACACCTTCCCCTTGCTCCAGCTCTGCCACCTAGACCCACGTCTCCACCTACTACAGCGTAAGGTCTGTAGCAAAACTTGTCTCCAAAATTCCAGTCCTGCCCCACTTCCAATGTCCCAGTTTCTGTTGAGGGCCCCACCACTTCTTCACTCAGTAGTCTAAAGCAGAGCATCACCTTCGATTCCCCTTCTCTGACCCTCATCTAAAGGCCTCCCGAGACTGCCTTTTCAGGTTATACATCCTCCTTTCCCTTCCTGCTGCCCCCAGCCTGGCTCAGGGCCCCTTCTTCTTGTTGGCTGTTGCTCCCAACTGATGCTGCCTCCTGACCCTGTCAGGCCTACTCAGGACAGCTCTACACCTTTTAAAAACACATTGTGGAGCTTTTGAATGTGGTGCCTGACTCTCTTGGATAGGACTTTGATCCTCTCCATAACTTAACACACTGCTGAGGGAAGGATGGGTGATAAGGCAAAAGGAGCCGAGGCTCTGGAGTGAGGCATCCTTGCTTCTAAATCCCAGCTCCAACACAGCTCCGTGACCTTGGGCAGATCACCTCTCTTGAGTGTTACCTTCTTCATCTGATGATGCCTTACTGCGAGCACACAGCTGAAGCGGTGTGTGTAATATGTGTGTATTTGCTCATATGTGTACAGTACAGAGTGCTTCCTTCCAGAAGCTGGTCCCAGTGGTTACCTCCTGGTTGTGGAGAACTGCATGGAGGGTGGGAATAGGACAGAGACTTATGTTCCACTGTATACCCTTTGAACCTTTGGAATCTTGTACTTGTGTAGGCGTAATGTATTCACACAATAAAATTCAAAAAAAAGAAGCAATAGGATGTCCTTAGTGCCTGATCGTTATTTCCCTTCCATGGACCAGGGAAGACAAATAGATTCCAACTCGGAGGCCAATTTTATGTTTAACCCTCATGAATAATTTTATTTGCTATGGCTCGAGGAATAATAACACCAATATAAATTAAGATCTCTAATAGTCATCGATTAAAATAAAAAATATGAAAGTACAAATAACATTACGTTTTGTATTACTTTAAAATATTGAAAGCTTTGCATCAGATTCTTATCTAAACAGGGCCTATTTGGACATTGTTTTATGGATTATGGTGATGTGAGCAGCCGTATTGATTTCGCAGTTTTGACAAGAAAAAAATTTGTTATAATAAAGACACTCCTAATAATAAGCTTATAACGAAATCAGTAAAGTATATTAAACTACAAAATACATTAAGCTTTATTTGCTAAATAGGCAAGCAATGAAACATCAGAATGTTCATGAAAAAAAACAGGAATCACGTCTCCTGACAATATTCAGCCACTGCTCCGTGACACTCAGCTGGTCTTCCGAGTCTGGTCTTGAATGGTATTTCTGTTCAGCCACAATTTGTGATTGCCGGTGAGGATTTTCTGTTTTCAAAACAGCCTTGATAGTCTTTAGATTTGTTTGTAAAACTTACTGACTAAATCAAGAAAACACAGGTCTGATCTAATACTCCCTTGCTCACTGTTTAACCAAAGCAAATACAAAACGCCTCATCCTGATATCCAGAGCTTTCTGTGGTATGGAGAAACAACGAGAAGTAGTCTGAGTGTGCTTGAGGGCCTGACCTGCACTCAGGGCTGGCCAGTTCCACTTCCTGTGGAACCGCAGTCCACTTCCGCGTGGACTCCTGAGCCGTTCTTTACAACCATCCCAATCCCCGACCCCCTTGGCCCTCCAGAGTTCTTCCAGAGTTGCCTCCAAAAGGGCAGCCTCCTCAGCTCAGCCACCCTCTCCTGTCCTCTCATTCCCACTCATGCTTCCTTCCCTCGGGTGCTCCCCGTGGTTTCAGTCATTAGAAAACAGCATTCCGTCTTCGCCTCTTTATAGAATGTTCCCTATCCCTCCCCTCTGTGATCCACTCCCCTTGGAAATAGCTCATCCCTGTAAAACTCGTCGGTCTAACGCATGTTTATGGAGCGCACTGTTTTCAGTGTTAGAGATACAAAAGTGAACAGGACCTAGGCCCTGCCTAACGGGGTTCTGCGCTAGTAGGAAGAGGCAGGGAGGATAAGGAAGTCAGGTTCTTGTTCTGATAACCTTAGGAAGATGGCAAGATAAGGGAAAGTTATAAAGGGCAACAGGGTGGGATGTCACGTGAGACCAGTGCTATCCAATAGCACATCTGTCATGATGGAGGTTCTAGATCTGTGCTGTCCAGTATGATAGCCACCAGCCACATGTGGCTATCGAGCACTTGAGATATGGCTAGTGTGACTGAGAAAATGAATTTTTAATTTAGCTTAATTTTTTTTAAGATTTTATTTATTTATTTGTCAGAGACAGGGCCCACACAAGCAGAGGGAGAAGCAGACTCCCCACTGAGCAGGGAGCCCACTTCAGGACTCAATTCCAGGACCCTGGGATCATGACCTGAGCCGAAGGCAGACGCTCAACCATCTGAGCCACCCAGGCGTCCCTCATTTAGCTTAATTTTAATAGTCACACTTGACTAGTAGCTCCTGTAGGTGACCGTGCATCCTTAGATGAGAGAGTCAAAGTCAAGCCAAGGGCAGCCTTTCTGAGGACAGACATTTTAGTTGAGAATGTAACTAACAAAAATCTCAGGGAAGCACATCTAAATGGAAGGGACAGCACATTCAAAGGCCCTGAGATGGAAAAAGCACGATGTGTTCCTTAGAGAGGAAGCCAGCATGAGTGAAGCCCGTCTAGGCAAGGAGGGGTGTGCCGTCACAGGTGTAGTGTGCAGAGGGGCACTAACTAATCAGACCAAACGTCAGCCATAACCAGACTGCCTTGACTTTATGCCCTAGGGAGGCGTCTGTTCTAAGAGTAAAGAAAACATTTCAGGCACCCTAAGGTCAGTGGTAACGTCTGATCTGTGTTCTGGAAGATGAACTGCACAGGACAGGGGCGGAGGTGGGACAGCAGTGAGGACACTTATAGAAATCACAAAAATGAAAGTTCTTGGCATAGGTGCTGCCAGTGGAGACAGCAAGAGGTCGTCACCTCTGGGGTATCCCTTCCAGGCAAGAGCAGTGAGACTTTATGAGAAATTGAACATGGGGAGGAAGGAAAAGAAGAATGAAGGATGACTGCCATGTTTCTGGCTTGAGCAGCTGCTGCTGCCTCATGCCACCGAGAGAGGGAAGGACTGAGGAAAGTATATTTGAGTAGACAAATTAATTAATTCTATCTAAGTTTGATTTGCCAATTAGGCATCCGAGTAGCAATGTCAAGTGAGCAACTGAATATGCAGATCGAGAGCCCAGAGGAGGGATTATCAGCCTACAGCATAGAGGTGGCCTTTGAAGTCTTCTGGCCCCTTGTGGAGGCTGCTCCTTCTCCCTCATCCACAGGTAGGGTGTGAGAAGCAGGGTTGCATTCTGCCACCTCTCCCCTCCACCCCCACCCCCACTTTCCCATCATGGTTCTCCTGCCCTCAGCAGTGCGGCCCTCCTCTAGTGAGGCCAGACCAGCAACCACAACACCGTGCAAAGCCCTACACTCTTCACGCACTGCTGAAGTTGCCAAGCTGCTCACCCGCATTCCCGGAGCATTCACATCCCTGGCTCACTGTCCTCCTGGCCACCAGAGCCCTGCCGCCACCCTGGGGAACGCGAACACTCAGGGACACGCCTCAGCCCCACTCAGGCCCCACCTGCGTTTCCTCTTTCGGTAGGAAACATGCTTCCTACCCTCAGGAACTCATTAGAGAAGGGGAAAAGGCACAAGCACCTTACAGACATTTTATTTATTTATTTGACAGAGAGAGAGAGCACAAGTAGGCAGAGCAGCAGGCATGGAGAGAGGGGAAAGCAGTCTCCCTGCTGAGCAGGCAGCCCAATACAGGGCTCGATCCCAGGACCCTAGGATCATGACCTGAGCTGAAGGCCGCTGCTTAACTGACTGAGCCTCCCAGGCGCCCCCAGACGTTTGATTTTAAAACAGAAGAATATGAAGAGAGAGATCACAAAGGAGAGGGTGGTCAGTTCTACTAAAGAGAATCAAAAGTCAGGGCACCTGGCTGGCTCAGTCGGTGGGGCGTGCAACTCTTGATCTCTGGGTTGTGAGTTCAAGCCCCATGTTCAGTACAGAGATTACTTAAATAAATTAAAAAAAGAAAAAAAGAAAATGAAAAGTCTTCATAGAGGATCTGCTATCTTTTTTTAAAAAATGGATTTTCACAGGCCCATGGGAAGTATGGGGAGGGGTTAAATGGACACCCTTGGTGGAGGACACCATCTCAATACAGGCGGGAGGCTCGGGTCAGCCTGGTGTATTCGGTGGTTCGGCGGGTGGGGGTGTGGCGGGGGAGCAGAAGGCTGCAGGCGTTTGGGTGTGGCTGGAACATAAGAGTCAAGGAAGAACGTGGCTACAGAGAAGAACAAGGGCCAATGGGACATTATCTGGCAGGCAGTAGGGGGCCGCTGAAGCAGGAGAGGGACAAGGTCAGATAGCAGTTCAGAAGAGTGTCTTCAGCAGCCGATCGGAGAGGGACCCCAGCCAGGTGAGGGGGAGGCAGGAAGCCCAGCTAGGTAGGAGGCTCTTGCAGCAGCCAAGCCAAAGGTGACAAAGGTCTGCCCTAGGGACAGGGTGGAGGAGAGGGACCAGATACAAGGTGTGATCACTGGGGAAGCAGGGCTTGATGACCAAATAGACATGGGAAGGCAGGGGGCAGGGGAGTGCAGATTGCTGGCGTGGTGCCCAGGCGGTGTCATCCACGACGACTGGGAACACCAGAGGAGGATTGGGTTTGGGAAAACAATTGATGACCCTGTTCTGAGCAGGGTGAGTTTGAGGAGCATCCCATGGAAGCTGTCGGTGGGCACATGTAATAGGCAATGGGATAGAGGCATCCAGGGCCCAGAGAAGAAAGCTAAGTGGCAGCTCAAGATCTGGGAGCCATCAGCACAGAGGTGAACACTGGGAATAGATGGGATCAGCTAGGGGACAAAAGGGTAGAGTGAGAGGAGAAGGACAGGGGACAGTTACACTTACAGCTGAGGGCCAGCAGAGGGGCTGGGCAAGCGGACAGACCCAACAGTCCCATCCAGCCAAGGGCAGGTTGTTGGGTCGAACGCAGCCACACACTGGACAGAAGCATGTACATTTCAGAACTGCTGTGACATAGTCAACATTGCTGCAATCAGGCTCACAGAAAGTCCAGCACAGACTTATACATTCCCACTCCTCCAAAATTTCTTTCTCCATGCTCGTATTCACATCCCTTGGCCACAGAATCTCAAAGTTTAAAAATTCCTTAACAGTCATCCAGCCAAACCCTCCAATCAAACCAGTTTACACATTCCCCCCCAAAAAACATGCCTGTGCCCTCCCATCTCTGCTTCTAAAATGTCTTCACACCCACCTTCCTCTAGGCCCACCTCCAAACCCACAGTCGACCTACCCACCCCCATGCCTGTGGTCATTCTCCTTAGTGGGCTACTTAAGTAAGCACATGCTACCCAGCATCTCCTGCTTTATACTCTCCCTTTTCCCCATTTTATGCTCGGGTCCTGTGTCCAATTAGACTGTAATACTGAGCGTATTAGCTACCATGCATGGAGCACCTACTGTGCATCAGACTCTCTGATAACTGCCTTTGCATTATCTGATTTAGCTGGTAGCACTTGCCCATTGAATAGAACTGAATAATATTTGAATTATAATAATTGAATAATAGAATTATAATTATTGAAAAATAATAGAATTATTACCCCTAGTTTAGCAAAGAGAAAACCAATGCACAGAGAGGTTGTGTAACCTACCCAAAACCCAGAGCCAGCCGCTTCGCATTACTTGTTCGCATGCAACAGATGCTTGCTTTTGAGGATATTATGAATATAATCTTGTAGCATTTTAGAGTTTGAAGGGGTCTTCAAATTTATCTCCTTTTACAGATGAGGAAGCTAAGATCCAATGAACTGATTAACTGCTACAGCCTTTGTGGGATTTAATCTGACCCTGACGTCAACACAAAGTGTGCAAACCAGGGCGCGCCCAGCTGGCTCAGTCAGTAGATCATGAGACTCTTGATCTCCGGGTTTTGAGCTTGAAGACCCATATTGGGTAAAGATATAGCGATTACTTTAAAAAAAAAAAAAAAAAAAAGGGCACACAAACCAGGAAGTAGAAATTCGTATAATGTGGTGTTTTCAGTCACACAGAAAACCTTCAGGCACTAATGCCAACCAGACCCACGTGCTCCAGCCCCTTCCCACCAGTCCAGCACATGGCCAAAAGATTGGGTTCCAGAGTCAGAAACACCAGGGTTGAATCCTTGGCTCTGCCCCTTATGAGCTGGGGGATCCTCGAGGAAGTGTGTCAACCTCTGTCTGAGCTGCCAATTCCACATCCATAAAATGGAGGCTCTGATGGCTCCTGCCTCAGAGCTGTATGGGAAGATCAGGAGGGAACCGAGGAATGGGTGTGGACTTCATTTTGAATCATAGCCCTCTTACTGTTCTCTTTGGGCAAGTCCCCTCACTCGGGGAGCTTTAGCTTCCTCATCTCTAAAATGAGGTAATACAGGACACCTGGAAGCCTTGCTACACACTTCAAAAGATCTGTTTGTACAACACTGTAACTCTTCAGGGCTGATTATGCTTGTTGTTGTTTGTTTTGTTTTTAAGATTTTATTCATTCACCTGACAGAGAGATCACAAGTAGGCAGAGAGGCAGACAGAGAGAGGGGGGGATGCAGCCTCCCTGCCGAGCAGAGAGCCCGATGCAGGGCTTGATCCCAGGACCCTAAGACCATGACCTGAGCCAAAGGCAGAGGCTCAACCCACTGAGCCACCCAGGCACCCCACTTTCCCTTTCATTGTTATAAACTCCCTAGGTAACATCCCCAAGCCGTTATATACTTCCCTTCCTCAGAGTGCTTGTGTCTAGGAAAACATACCAAGGAAAATGACAAGTGTATTTGTTTCCCCAGGTATCCATATTTCTAAAGGACAAAGTGCAGAATTCTAATGGTCGCTTTGTGTTGCCGGTGTCCGGACCTGTTCCCTGGGGAACTGAAGTTCCTGGACTCATCAGGTGAATTCTCAACTGTAATTGTCAGACCAATGTTTGGGGTGCCAGGAAACCAACATGTGGGCCGCCACAGAGAGTGCCACCCTGCTCAGTCCCCCGCTTCCTTCAGTAAAGTGTGGCAGTTAGAAGGTCAGGTTCTCATGCCCCGCGGTGCCACCCAGCGGACACTTGAGGCCAACCACCCAGTTCTTCAGGATTCAATTCCTCATCTGTTAAATGGTTGCTGTGAGTGTGGATAAGATAGTAATACTCTGAAGTGCTCACACAGCACCCAGCACATAACGTGCACTTGGTAAATATTATTTTTACTGTATTGCCACTGTTATTGCTTCAGCCAACATCTTTATCTTGAAGGAGTGCATGAATTCCTTTTTGTCCCATAGTACCAAGAATAAAGAAGCCTCCAGGACTCCCCAAGCTTGGAGAACATTCCATCATGTAATATTTGTATTGTAGAATATTCACCGACAAGGGCAAAGAAGTGAAGAAGGTAGAATTCAAGCATGGTGGGCACTATGTCACCGCACCAAAAGAAGGTTCTTTTGAACTTTATGGAGACCGCGTCCTGAAACTGGGAACTAATATGTAAGCAAATTCTCCCTCCCTGAATGAGTTCAAGTCCAAGGGAGGTCACTTCACTTAAAAAAGCAACTTGACTTCCGCTATGAAAATCCCTACTGACAAGTGAAATTGTTTCCCCTCAGATACAATGCATGCAGAGCGCTGACATTTTCACAGGGCGCCTAACATTTCCAAACATAAGGCAGCTCATGAAGCTGAAGAGATAAAAGATAGTAAATGGCCATGGAAGAGAACTAGCCCAAACCCGTGTCCCAGGGGAGGTCAGAAAGGCGAGACCGTCACATAGTGTTCCTGTGCTCTGCGGTAGTATACATCCCTTTCCCAGAAGAGCCATTTCCACACAGCTTCGCGGGTATTTTTCTTTGGGAAAGCGTGAAACTGAGTGGCTGACACCCACTTCATTATATTCTGTACTCCCAGCACATTTCTGGATACTTTTTTTTTTTTTTAAGATTTTATCCATTCATTTGACAGAGACATACAGGGAGAGAGGGAACATAAGCAGGGGGAGTAGGAGAGGGAGAAGCAGGCTTCCTGCTGAGCAGGGAGCCCGATGCAGGGCTCAATCCCAGGACCCTGGGATCATGACCTGAGCCGAAGGCAGGCACCTAACAACCGAGCCACCCAGGCGCCCCTCTGGATGCCTTTTAACGTCTCAAAATGAAAGTTACAGGGGCGCCTGGGTGGCTCAGTTGGTTAGGCAACTGCCTTCAGCTCAGGTCATGATTCTGGAGTCCTGGGATCGAGTCCCACATCGGGCTCCCTGCTCAGCAGGGAGTCTGCTTCTCCCACTGACCTCTCTCCTCTCATGCTCTCTCTCATGCTCTCTCTCTCTCAAATAATTAAATAAAATCTTAAAAAAAAAATGAAAGTTACACACTACATTTATGAGTTAGAAGGAAGTGGGTGTGAAAGGGCTGGACGATGTTTTCACAGTTTTCTGTTGATACCAGGTACAGTATGAACCGGCCCGTGGAAACCCACATGTCTGGAGCATCCAAAAACTTAGCTTCCCGGACACAGGTAAGCTGCTGCCTTCCTTCTTCAACTTCAGAGCTTATTTCTCAACATAAAAATCTGGACGGGGAGAAGAGTGGAAACGCTAGACTTCAAAGCTAGCCAGCGTTTCCCTCACTCTCATTGTTTGCAATCTTCTCAGTTTGGCCTTACAAGTACAAAGGTTTTTAATTGTAGTTTCTCATGAAGACTTCCAGTGATCTGACTAATTAGGTGATTTTAGGCTCAGCTCAGCCACCATAATTAAGCAGGAAACACACACCAGGCCAGGTGAAATAGCATTTGTACCCAGGCCCCTGGGTCTGCAGATGCTGAGTCCGTGCTCCTGTGTCTCCTGATCATCGCAGCAAGCCTCCATAATGCAGGGCTACCCCATATAATGCCGTGGCAGCGAAGTTCAAGTGGGATTTTGGATTCTCTGAATTCCATCTTTATAAAATCTCGCAGAAGTAGCTACTAGCCAGCTCTAGGACAGGTCAGGAAATACCCAGCTCTTTGGCAAACATTTATTGAACAACTTCTATGGGCTGGGAACCCAGGGACGCAAAGGTGACTTAGAAGGAGAAATGGGCAGGCAGAAACAAGGTGTCAGTATAAGCAAGGGCACCAAGGGACAAAAGAGCAGAGCGGTATTTGGGGGAAGTGGGGAAGCAGCATCTCTCCCGCTTGGCTAGATCATAATGCAACTGAGGGAGGTGGCCAGAGACTCGCCTAGACCAGGACTCTGGTCTAGGGCCCGATTCGAAAGAGGCTTAAGCGATTTGGACTTTGCCATTTAGGCAAGATGCAGAGGGGTTTATCCCCAGTGAGGAAGAAGGGAGAGGAGAACTCTACTTTGGATAACTGGCGGCAGAGTGACCAAAAAAAAAAAAAAAAAAGGACAGTGGAGGAGGCAGAGCAGGGGGCAGCTGGGTTAGAGGAGCGGGCTTGGAAGGAGGGGTGAGGGTTGAGCAGGGCCAGACAGCAGGAGGAGGAAATGGGTCTGGGGTGTGTTCACCACTGTGACCACCTGAGGGCAGTGTGGTAGCTCCTATGAAAGGAGTGCCCTTGGCCCTGGGGCATTGGCTGAGGCTCCTGGTAAATGCCCCGGGAACTAGACTGACGGAAGAGGAAGCAATGTTCTTCTCCTTCAAGGAGGAAGGTCGTCTGAGGAGAACGGGGATGACTGGGGCCCTCCACTCATCTTGAAAGTGTGAGAATCTCTGGTTTGCTGCCTTGCTAAAAGTCCTTCTGCTTCTGATGTGGATTGTTTGTTTGGGTTAAGCCTGTTTTCTACTATTTATTTGGACACAGTTCTTCCCAGGACAATTGAAACAGTTATTGTTTTGCCTGGTTCTGTAATACTGCGGTGGGTATCTGGGGTCTCAGCAGGAAATGTGATTACCTTCATGTGGCTAAAAATCATGAAATTGTTTCAGCAGGAAATCATTGCTCCAAACCCTCTTGCTAAAGAAGAGCTGAATTTCTTGGCCAGGCTGATGGGAGGGATGGAGATTAAGAAACCCAGTGGCCCTGAGCCAGGATTCCGGTTGAATCTCTTCACCACGGATGAAGAGGAGGAGTATGTTTTAAACCTGTTTCTTCCAAGGCATATCTAAAAATCCTAAGTGTGATAAGAACAAAAAAAATGGCCATTATAAACCAGTATTATTTATAAACATAGATGTAAAGGTCACAGAGGAAAACCCAGCAAATTCAATCACCTACTTAAAGAAGAATCCACCAGTATTAAATAGTCTGAACCTTCTAGATTCTTTCAAGAAATAGTTCTAAGATTTTACTTAGCAAAGCATAGCTGAACAAGAAATATTGGAAGTCAAGATAATCATAGTAAGAAAAATCTGTTAAGAAACCAGAGGAGAGTCAGAGCATGATATCTTTGGGATAAGGTAGTCTCCCCCAAAACGAATAAGGATAGTAACCCACCCAGATTTACACAGAGATTTACAGTTTATAGAACACTCTTGCACCATTATCTCACGTGATCCTCCTCACAACCCAATATAGAACCAGGCGATTCTAGTTCCATACCCATTGAACTAACTTTTTGCACTTCTGTGTGACAGGTACTATGGTTAAGTGCCAGGGACACGAAGATGGGAGTGTAAGACCTAGAGCCTGTCCTCAGAAGCTCGCAGGGTAGGAAGAGAATGTACCAGACATGAGTTAGTTCAGTGTCGTGTCATAAATGTGCTAATGGAGGACACAGTGATTGACTTTGCATGGGCAGATGGAGGGAGCTGGCATCCGGGCTTGGTCTTGGAGTTTGCCAAGCAGAGGAAGGGGGAAAAACATTCTCAGCCCAGTTCAGTACATGCAAAGGCACAGAGACAGATAAGGACCTGACTTTTTGGAGCATAGGCTGCACTGCTTGGGGAAAGGGCAGAAAGCTGAAGGGAAGCGGCAGAAGGTGAGGCAAAAAAAAAAAAAAAAAAAAAAAAAAACAGGCTGCCAAATGATCAGATGCCGGTGTGCCACGCTGGCAAGGAGAAAACTCTAACCTTTGACCCGCTTCTCTACCGCCTCCTGCAGACAAGCTGCGCTCACCAGGCCAGAAGAGTTATCCTATGAGGTTATCAACATACAAGCTACTCAGGTGGGTGCCAGCGATTACACAAGCCAGGGGTCAGTCCCATCCTCATCTCGGGCTAACCTTGAATATCCCAGGCCCTCCCTCCGTCCCTCAGCAGCATGTACCCAGAGTCCCTATCCTGACACGCATCACAACGGCGGGGCAAATTTCAACACCATCTGCTCAGAGAAGCAGCCATGCTGACACACCCCCTTCTCGGCCTTGCCCTCTCACTTCTCCAATAGGACCGGCAAAGGAACGACGAGCTGGCTCGCATCATGGGGGAGTTTGAGGTCATGGAGCAGCCGAAGCAGAGTGCCAGCAAGGGGGACGATCTGCTGGCCATGATGGATGGGTTCTAGCTGCGCTGGCCTGGCACCCCCACCCCGCCCCCTGTGGCACCCTGCGGAGGGCCCAGGGAGCAGAATGATGCTGCTCGTTTTCGACCAAGTGAGCAGTTACCTCCCATCCCTGTCTGTGTTGTAACGAACTACACAAGCCTCCCTCAAGGAGTACCGTGTCTGCAAGGCACACACATACACATGTTTTCAACAAAATAGATTCTGCCTTTTAAACTGGACGTTTTCCATTTTCTTCTGCCTTATGGCAACTGTCCAAAGCATCCTGGGCCATAGGTTCAAGCGCCAGAGTCACTGAGGGGGCACGCCTATTGCTGCTTTCCATCGTAGCTTTGCAGTGGACACCCGCAGCCCACAGATGCCCATCTGCAAGCCATCATGAAACTTCAGAGCTTCCCGGGATGCACTCGGCCTTGGGAGTTGGCAATAGGTGGGAAAGGCAGTTGAGGCCCAGTTTAGCCAGTTCTCCTCTGCCCGGCACCCTGGAAATTGTAACCTCAGAGGCCCAGTAAGCCAGGCCACGACAGGGAACACGCAACTGGGCCCCATGTGGAGCAGGTGGGTGTCTGTTGTTCTCTTGCTACCTTTGTGTGGTGTGGGCTTATCCCATGTGGCAGTGCATCCCAAGGAAACGGTTTGCTTGATGTGTACCCTTTCCCCCACAGAGTCTTACTCTGCCACTCAAGTGTTCTTGTCTTCTAAAGAACCGGCCTCCCCCTAGCATGATGCACCATGACATCCATCTCCACTTCGCCCTCAGTGGCCGGGCAGAGCCTTAAGTGAATAGGATACGTGGGAGGCACGCATGCTGTGCCACTTTCCCTTCCCAAGACCAGATGATTTACTTCTCCTGGCAGGAGGCCAAGTCTAATTAAGATCCATGTAAAATCTCTCAGGCCAGGGCTGCCCTAATTGCTTCAGGAAGAAGCATTAGCCCTCTACCGCATGTTCATCCTGGACTGAGTAACTGGCAGGCTCAGGGCCAGCCAACATCTAGAGGTCAAGGTCCATTGAGTCCCAGGGAGGGAATATCCAGAATGGCAGAAGGCAAGAGAGAAACGGAGCTGAGCTGGTCATTGCCTGAGATGGAGCCAACCACCAGAACCACTCAGGCTCCTGACATTGTGGCAAGAGTGGAGGCGGACATAGTTCTGGAACGTGAGGGCCAGGGAAGCTGTCCTTAGTGTGCCTAAGGCATGGCAATTGCATACAGAAAGATAAATCACCAAATGAACTTGTGGTGCTTCCTCTGGATGACAGCTTCACTTCTTACCTGCAGAAGCCCACAGGTGGTGGTCTGGGGAGGAGAAGCAGATCGCGCTGTAAGCTGCTTGTTACAGTTTACAAAGTACCCTCTGTCTTAGTCTCTTTTAAGCAATCTGGCCACTAGTTGGCATGGCCTGAAAGGGTGACAGAGGAAGGGAAAGGGTCTATCCTGTTCTGAGCTACAAACCCAGACTTTACCTCCTGCTCCGAGCCTGTCCTAGGGCCTTGGAGGTGGGCCACCAGCTTCCGAGAAGCAGCCGCCTCCCTTTACCTCTCCCAGAGCCATGCGGATGATTTCAAACATGTCTGTTCCCTCAGTAAATAAACAAGATACAGATCTCTGGTAGGGCAGCCTTGTGATGAGGCAACCTCTGGCTTTCATGTCTCTGGACTTGCATAGATATTGAGAAAAACAAGTTTACCTGCATGGTGGTTGAGGGCAATCAAAGAAAGGAGGCAGGAGGAGGCAAAGAAAATGGAAACCAGGGATTGCTCTGGCACAAATGTGAACTGGGTACTGACTGGGTACTAACACCGCATCAGTGTTCGTTTGAAACTAGGCCCCGAGGTATGAGGGTGTCCCACCACAGCGCCCAGTACACTTTGGGGGAAGGTGTGCCATCATCAGAGTCAGGAAACTGGACTCTGGCCCCAGCCCTGCCCCAAATTCACCATGGCCTCTTGGGCAGTCATTCTCACTGAGCCTCGGTTCCCTTAGCTGGAAGAAAGAGAACTCGTTCGCTGGCATAAAGCCGGCTTGCCCAGATACAGTGTTGAGTGCACAGATTGCTAGGCCCTGCCCCAGGTGGGAGCTGAGAACTGGGACTTATACCCACGCCGCCCCCCAACTCCACTGGGGGCAGGTCTGCTCTCTCTCAGCTCTCCTGGGACTACCTTCTTCTCAGCTGAGTTTCATACTCTTCCATTCCTGTACATATAGTGTTGGCATGCCCTAGATTATGGAAGGCAACGTTCTAGAAAAGTTTTCTGAATGAAAGTTCTTTGATGGTTCCCAGAAGAAAGGTGTAAAAAGTTAGAGTGAAGGGGAGAAAGAAAAGGGGGAAGGATGTATTTAGCTCTCAGTTCAAAGATGAAAGCCCCCCCCATCTAGTCCACATATGTATCTAGCAATTCCTTTTTTTTTTTTTTTTTAAGATTTTATTTATTTACAGAGAGAAAGAGCAGAAGTAGGGGAAGCGGGAGAGGGAGAAAGAGGCTCCTCGCTGAGCAGGGAGTCCAATATGGGGCTCAAACCCAGGACTCTAGGATCATGACCTGAGCGGAAGGCAGATGCCCAACTGACTGAGCCACCCAGGCACCCCATGTATCTAGCCATTCTTAAAGGTGAACTCACTTCTTCCACCCCAGCATGGTAACCAGATCCCAGAGATCCTCAGGTGTCACAGTCCTTTGTCCACTTGCACCTGGTTTATCACAGATTTACATCCAGGACAGAAGCCAACTTAAGCTGTGGGAAACCACAGAAAGAGAAATGCAAACTTTAAAAAATATATCTATTTACCACAGTATCTAATCATAAAGACCCAAATTAAAATCTGAAAACTAATACAACCTTTACTTAACCTTCACTCCCTTTACATTATGTCCTGGGTAACTCCTCTTCAGCTGCCAAATTCCTGGACAGCTGGCAGGAGAGGGAGTTCAGGGAAGTGTTTACCAGGGATTGGATTAAGGAAACACCATCACAGTTGGATCTTCCCCTCAGAGCTTTGTGACTTAGTGTGAAGTAAATTCTCAGCCTTTTCAACTCACCCTTTTTCAAATGAGAATGTCAAAATGCACTCCAAGGGCCAATGGAAATCCCTCCGAATTATTTAATACTCCCCCCACCCACTACACACACACACACACACACACACACATACACACACACACACTACTTCTTGTTTTTGGCCAGTGGTGACTCTGCTGACAAAAATAACATTACCTTCTCTGTCAGTTCCCAAACTACATGAAACCCCCGTTGCACTGGTCATGGTGAAGCCACTCCACTGAGCTGGGGGTCAGGCCCGGGACACCTAAACCCCAGATGCACACATCTGCCCATCTGCTCAGATCACTCTGCCCTCCTCTGTCTTTATAAAAATCTCTCACTTCCTTTTGAAATGTTGGGGCCTTATTGGGCGTTTTCAAGGGGAAGTCATGGTGTCCGCCAAGGACCTTTGACACGGGTTTTCTGGATGTCCTAAAGACCTCTCAGTTTCAGTTACAACTTCTTCCTGTGCTTTCCTTCATCTCTCCTCCCCACTTCAGCATATCTTTTATCTGTACCCTCCTTCCCTCAGTCACACCCAGCCTTCTTTCTGCACGTCAGACAGTATCTGAAGGGCTGCTGAGGTTGAACTCCCAGCCAAGCCGCTCCCACCCACCCTTGGGCCTCGGCTTCTCCCTGGTGGTCCTTGTTCCGCTGTTCACTCAGCAGCACTCCGGCTTCCCAGCTGCCTCCCCCGCCCCCTCCTCCAGCTCCTGTCACCACACAGATCCTTCTCCCTTCTCCTCCAGCCCTGACTTCCCCGACTCTGCCTGATGCAATGGCCTGCTCTCCTCCCCACTCCCCTGGACCTCTGGAAGTCTCTTTGTGGCCCTGCTAAACTCCATTTTCTTCCTAAAACCCTCTTCCCTTTGGCCACAGTGGCTCACATCCTACTTTCTTTTTTTTTTTTTTTAAAGATTTTATTTATTTATTTGACAGAGATCACAGGTAGGCAGAGAGGCAGGCAGAGAGAGAGAGGAGGAAGCAGGCTCCCTGCCGAGCAAAGAGCCCGATGTGGGGCTCGATCCCAGGACCCCGAGATCATGACCGGAGCTGAAGGCAGAGGCCTTAACCCACTGAGCCACCCAGATGCCCCTCACATCCTACTTTCTGACCACACTTCCCCTTTCTCCCTCAGTGCCTTCTGATTGAGGATTGCTCTGCACGGTACAGATGTTGCTGTTTTTTAAAAGTCTGTCAAAATGGCCAGGTCAGGAGCATGTCGGTGGCTCAGTCGGTTCAGCATCTGCCTTCAGCTCCAGTCCTGATTCAGGGGTCCTGGGACTGAGCCCTGGGGTGAGCTCCGCTCTCAGCAGGGAATTGCTGTTCCCTCTCCCTCTACTCCTGCCCCGCTGGCTTTCTCTCTCTCTCTCAAATAAATAAAGTCTTAAAAAAAAAAAAAAAAAATGGCTCTGTCAATTGCCAGATGGCCCCTATTTCACTCCCTGCTTCTCTTCCCAGTCCTCACTCTCCTCTCCTCTCCCGCCTCACCCTGCCCCCCAGACCACAGGCTCTCCCGTGCCCTGCAGCACCCGAAAGTGTTGACATCACTTTCTTTCCGAAAGGCTGTTATTTTCAACTATTAACTCAGACATCTCTGTGACCCCCTCCTCGCCTGCACTGCAGGCTCACTTTCCCTGAGACCTTCCACACCACTTCATAACGCAGTGTCCAACACTGATGTCATTTTTACTTATTTGGTACATTTACCTTGCTTTCAAAAGGCTGAAGAAACTTCTAAAATTAAATATAATACAGGGGTGCCTGGGTGGCTTAGTCGGTTGAGCACCTGACTCCTGGTTTTGGCTCAGGTCAGGATCTCAGGGTCATGACACTGAGAGCCCTGAGTGGGGCTCCATGCTCAGCAGGGAGTCTGCTTCCTCTCTCCCTCTGCCCCTACCCCAGCTCCAGCGTGTGCTCTCTGTAGCTCTCTAAAATAAATAAATCTATATTTTTTTTTAATAAATCGGGTTTTTTGGAAGATTTTATTTATTTATTTGACACACAGAGTTCACGAGCAGGCAGAGAGGCAGGCGGGGCAGGGCGGGGCAGTGGAGCAGGCTCCCTGCCAAGCAGAGAGCCTATGCGGGCTCAATCCCAGGACCCTGAGGTCATGACCTGAGCGGAAGGCAGAGGCTTTAACCCACTGAGCCACCCAGACACCCCTATAAATAAATCTTT